TAGGGTCACACAGCCATGGTACTCAGGAAACTTCAAACAGCTCTGTGAGCTGGGCATTGCAGTGGAGTGAGGGGAACAAGGATGCAGGGCTGTGGCCCCAGGGTTTCCTTTTCCTGCCCTTCCTTACATTTAGCCTAAAACATTCAGGCAGGGCAGAGCTGGGGAATAACTGAGTGAGGGGAGAGGTTCAGGTGTTTGCCTCCCTGAGTGGGAACAGGAGCTGAGGGAGGAGGTGGGAAGACACCAGTGTTGGAGTCACAAACATGGGAGGACAGGACATCAGAGTGAGCCTGAGGTCTGGCCCTCCAAAGGTACTTGGAGTTGTTAATGAGAACTCTCATCTTTCAGTACAGGCTGTGAGGTGCAGGAAGAGATCCAGACATGAACACGTGGCATGCAGTGGGATTCCAAAGGCTATGAGCACTCAACACCCAACCATGGCTTCTAACAGTGGTCTCCATGGAAAGGAAGGGGGTCCCTGGAGACAAGATTAGCCAAGAACACCCTATTGAGCCAGAAGGCAAGGACAAATTCAGAGAATATGGACATGCTGAGGGACACGCGGAGCTGGTTGAAGGGGCTCCAAGGTCCAAATTGGGTAATTTGAGCATCAAGATAATGTTAGCTGTGTGAGGCCCTGGATTCAATCTTCAGCACTGCCAAAAGAAAAAGAAGTGTCTGCAATAAATTGTAACCCAGTACATAAAATAGGAACCAGGATAAATGTAGATAAATTAAATGTAGATAACTTAAATAGATACTTTAGATAAATAATTGAAAGTTTGGCAAGGACCAGGATATTTAGTTTCAAAGAATCTCCTCACAAGCTGCTCACTAACTCCAGAGGAAAAAGGGGGCGGTGCTAGAGAGAGGGCTTAAGTGATCAGAGCGAACCTCATCAGTGACAGGGACTGTGATGCCATATACTACTAATGGGATTCAGTGAGACTCACTGCCACTGCTATGACAAGGACATACAACCTACATCTTATTGGGAGGTAGTCAGTGGAACCTGGAGCTCCTAAGGATATGACCTCATGTGGCATAGTGACTTTGCCAGTGTGATTAAGGTTGCAGACCTTGAGATGTGGAGATTATCCCAGATTATCTCCTAGATGGTCTCAGTCTAATCTCATGAATCTTTAAAATAGGGAAACTTTCTCTAGCTAGCTCAGAGATGTGACCTGAAAGAAACTTGGCTTTAAAGATGGAGGAAGAGGGTGACCAGCCTGGGAACAGCCTTCAGTTTACAGCCAGCAAGAAAATAGGGATCTTGCAACTCCAAGGAGTAGAATTTTGCCAATAACAAATTGCACAGGAAACCAATTGGTCTGGAGCTTCCAGGAGGGAGAGTAGCCTGCCACACCTTGATTTTAGCGTAGTGTGATCTGTTTTTTTTTTTTTT